ATGGGGCTGTACATTATCCTGCTGAAACATGAGGTGATGGCGGTGGATGAATGGCACGACAATGGGCCTCAGGATCTCATCATGGTATCTCTTTGCATTAAAATTGCCATTGATCAAATGTTTGTTGTCTGTAGCTTATGCCTGCCCATACCATAACCCCATCGCCACCATGGGGCACTCTTTTCACAATGTTGACATCAGCAAACCACTCGCCCACACGACACCATACCCGGCATTCATCTGTGAAGAGCACACTTCTCCAGTGTGCCAGTGGCTATCGAAGATGAGTATTTGCCCACTGAAGTCGGTTATGACGCCAGGTCAAGACCCTGGTGAGGACGAAGAGCACGCAGATGAGCTTCCCTGAGATGGCGTGGTTACACGTGGTCTGAGGTTGTGAGGCCGGTTGGACGCACTGCCAAATTCTCTAGACTTATGGTAGAGAAATTAACGTTCAATTCTCTGTCAACAGCTCTGGTGGACATTCCTGCTGTCAGCATGTGACGAGTAATGAGTATACGAAGAGGCAGTATGCAGACACAGGAATTAACAAGGTCAAGGTTTACTCAAACAATGACAAATAGAATTAACAAAGATAGAGTACATGACACGAAGCAAAACTTTCACACACACACACAACATCCTACAGAACAGTCCAGGGCTAAATAGGGGTAGAGATGAGATGAGGTGCAGGTGCGCTGGAGGTGATTAAGGTGCGTTGGGTTTCCATTCCGGTGTTGCCGAGGTGGTGCGCTCAGACCGGTGGCTCCCCTCCGGCGAATTCGCCGGAGGGGAGCACCAGGAGGAGACATGACAGTACCCCTCCCCCGGACGCGCTCCAGCCGCTGGACGTCGCCGGCCAGGAGGACAACCCCGAGGACGAGGAGCGGGCCGGTCAGGGCGGCAACGGTGGAAGTCCCGAATTAGGTTGGGGTCCAGAACGTCCCCAGCCGGAACCCAGCTCCTCTCCTCAGGACCATACCCCTCCCAGTCCACAAGGTAATGGAGCCGTCCCCCACGGAACCTGGAGCAGATCCCTCACCGCATACGGCAGACTCCTGTCAATGTCCAGGGGTGAAGGAGGCGTACCCCGGGGATCGGCATCCGCCAGAGGACCAGGAACCACCGGCCTGAGGAGAGACACATGAAAAGTGGGTGAGACACGGTAGTGAGGGGGAAGGAGCAGCCGGTACAATACCTCATTTATCTGCCGGAGGACCTTAAACGGCCCCACAAACCGTGGACTCAGTTTCTTGCAGGGCAGGCGGAGAGGGAGGTTTTTTGTGGACAGCCAGACACAATCCCAAGGCTGGAATACAGGGGCCTCACTGCGGTGGCGGTTGGCTTGGTCCTTCTGCTGATGAATGGCCCTCTGGAGATGGACATTGGCGGCGTCCCAGACCTGTCCGGCCCTGTGGAACCACTCGTCGACAGCGGGCGCGTCGGTCTGGCTGGGTGTCCAAGGGGCCAGGGCCGGCTGGTACCCCAAGACTACCTGGCTTGTCGAGAGTTCATCAGTGTTGCTGCCCGTGTGTGCTCCAAATTCCAGTGGTCAGTAAGAATCCGGAATGGATGGACTGCACCCTCCAGCCAGTGTCTCCATATCTTCAGAGCGAGGACCACCGCCAACAGCTCCCTGTCTCCATAGTTCCTCTCTGCGGGGGTAAGCTTTTTTGAGAAAAAGGCACAGGGATGCATTTTCTCTGGCTTACCGTGCCGCTGGGAGAGGACCGCACCCACGCCCTCCTCCGATTCGTCCACCTCCAGGATGAAAGGATGAGGGATCTGGGTGTTTTAGGATGGGCGCTGTGGTGAACCTCTCCTTCAGCATCTTGAAGGCATCGTCAGTCTCAGGGTTCCAGGTCAGCTTCTGAGGCCCACCCTTAAGGAGAGAGGTGAGTGGGGCGGCTATGGAGCTGAAGGACCTGATGAAACGCCGGTAGAAATTGGCGAAGCCCAGGAAGCTCTGTAGGCCCTTGATGGTGGTGGGAACTGGCCATGACCTGACGGCGTCCGTCTTCACTCCTTAAATGAACACCCCCTGAGGACTGATCCTGTATCCTTGGAAGGAGATGGCCTGTTGGTGGAATTCGCATTTCTCCCCTTTCACCAACAGGCTGTGTTCCCGGAGGCGGAGTAGGACAGCTCGGATGTACCTGACATGCTCCTCGAATGTAGCCGAGTAGATCAGGATATCGTCGATGTACACCACCACCTGTCTACTCAGCATGTCCCGGAACACGTCATTGACAAAGGACTGGAACACAAATGGTGTGTTGGCGAGACCGTAGGGAATGAAACAGTATTCATAGTGGCCTGAGGTAGTGCTGAATGCCGTCTTCCACTCGTCTCCTTCCCGGATTCGGATCAGGTTGTAGGCACTCCTCAGGTCCAACTTGGTAAAGTACCGGGCCCCTAGTAGCTGCTCGATGGCCGATGGAACCAGAGGGAGGGGGTACCGGTACTTGGTGGTGACTGCGTTCAGCCCCCTGTAGTCAACGCATGGTCTCAGTTCTCCGTCTTTTTTGGCCACGAAGAAGAAGATGGCGGAGGCAGAGCGTCTGATGAACCCCTGTTTCAGGGTCTCCGCCACATACTTCTCCATGGCCTCATTCTCCGCCATGGAAAGGGGGTAAATGCGACTCTTCGGGGGGTGTTGTCCCTCCAGCATGTCAATGGCGCAATCCCAGGACCTGTGAGGAGGGAGACACGAAGCCTTAGATGAAGAGAAGACATTGGAGAGATCTGCATACTCACGTGGAATGTTGGGCTGGAGGGCGGACTCCGGACTCTCCACTGACGTGGAACAACAAACCACTGGCAGGCAGGTCTTCCGGCATGAGGTGGAACAGGCTGTGATCCTCTTGGTGATCCAATTGATGGTGGGGTTGTGTAGTCTGAGCCAGGGCAATCCCAAGACGATCCAGTGAAGGGGTGACGTGACGATGTGGAATGACAGCTCCTCGTGGTGCTCCGGTAGTGTGGGAATGGTGATGGTGATGGGGAGAGTGACATGCGTAATGGTGCCTGACCCAAGGGGTTGATTGTCCAATGAGGTGACGTGTTGTGGAGATGGCAGTGGCATGGTGGGCAACCCCCATTCAGAAACCAGCTCCCTATTTATAAGGTTCCCAGCTGATCCGGAATCTATCATTGCAGTAGAAATGGAAGATAAGGAATCACCAGTCACCGTTATGTGAACTAAAAACAATGGTTTTGTGATAGGAGATGACGTCACACTCACGGAGCGGCGACGGGAGTCATACCGCCTAGATAGGGAGCCGCCAGGAGATCTGTGTGCCGTGGTGGTGTAGGGGGTGCTGCCCACCTCCATGGGTGAGGCCTCAGAATCAGGGCTGCTTCCATAGCTTAGATTGGGTGAGTGTCGAAGCCCTGGGAGGTGTTGGGAACGCCGTCTCTCTCGCAACATTTCGTCAAGACGGATGGACGTGGTGATAACGGTATCAAGGTCCATCTCATTGTCCCGACATGCGAGTTCCGTCTTAATGTCCTCCCGTAAGCCTCTCCTGAAGGCCGTGCGCAGAGCAAGCTCATTCCAGCCGGAAGACGCCGCCACCGTGCGAAAGCTCAGAGCATACTCGGACGTGGGACCCTCTCTCTGTTGTAGATGGAGGAGACGCTCACCCCCGTCCTTTCCCTCCGTGGGATGATCAAACACCACCCTGAACCGAGCGAGGAAGGTGGGGTAGGGTAGTGCCACTGCCTCCTCTCCTTCCCAGACAGGTGGATTGGAGGCACTCGCTGCTCCCTGAGGTAGAATTGGAGCGCTGGGCAGATTATGCAGAGTTTGGAGCACTTCCTGCAAAGCGACGTTCAACTGGGCAAGCTGCTGCTGGTGCTGGTCGAGGCACTGGGAAACTCCTGCTGCATCCATTTTCGTTTGGTGTGTGATTCCGTGACGAGTACTGAGTATACAAAGAGGCAGGACGCAGACGCAGGAATTAACAAGGTCAATGTTTACTCAAACAATGACGAAGAGAATTAACAAAGATAGAGTTCATGACACGAAGCAAAACAATCACACACAACATCCTACAGAACAGTCCAGGGCTAAATAGGGGTAGTGATGAGATGATGAGGTGCAGGTGCGCTGGAGGTGATTAGGGTGCATTGGGTTTCCATTCCAGTGTTGCCGAGGTGGTGCGCTCAGACCGGTGGCTCAGTAGACCGGCGAATCAGAGCGCCGGAGGGGAGCACCCTCAAAACTTGATACATCTGTGGCATTGTGTTGTGTGACAAAACTGCACATTTTAGAGTGGCCTTTTATTGTCCCCAGCACAAGGTGCACCTATGTAATGATCATGCTGTTTAATCAGCTTCTTGATATGCCACACCTGTCAGGTGGATTGATTATCTTGGTAAAGGAGAAATGCTCACTAACAGGGATGTAAACAAATTTGTGCACCAAATTTGAGAGAAATAAGCTTTTTGTGCATATGGAACATTTCTGGTATATTTTATTTCAGCTCATTAGTTTTTATTTCTATTACAAATTCACTTTAGTTTCAGTTAGTTTTCAGACCCGATTTTCTCGTTTTTATTTAGTTTTAGTTCAAAATGTTGTTTTCCTGCCTGCAACTATCAATAGTTTGCAGACAGGGCAAGCAGACATATTTGGTGAGTAACGAACCTATTTTGACATTATAACGCTTGCAGAGCTGGTGAATGGTAGTTTAAATTGTAGTTTTCTGGGCAGAGAGGAGATATCATCATATTCATCGTCTGGTTAAGTACGCAGCAACACAATTAGAAATATATGGTCTACTTAAACCTTTTTCTGAGATCTGGGAAAAATAAAAAGAGCTAATGAATCAAACATGCAAATGTGAAATGCATTTCCTGTGCATGTTCAACGTTGTTTATGGCTTGTACTTGGGACTTTTCCTTTGATAGCTCGTACTTGGGGCTTTTATTTTGAAACGTCTAACTTCCATGGTCTAGCCAGTTTCGCACACTCCCATTGGCTGTTGGCTTATCCAATGGAAAAGAGTGTTGGTGACTTCCTCGCAGTAGCTTGTGTGTGTGTGTGTGTGTGTGTGTGTGTGTGTGTGTGTGTGTGTGTGTGTGTGTGTGTGTGTGTGTGTGTGTGTGTGTGTGTGTGTGTGTGTGTGTGTGTGTGTGTGTGTGTGTGTGTGAGTGAGTGAGTGAGTAATTTCACTAGTACTGATCTTGGATTATAGAGTGGTCTATCTGAGCAATCCTTGTGTTTGATTTTAGAGTGTTTTTTTCTGCAATTCTTGTGTGTCAGCTGTGTGGTATTACTATTCTGTATCATTTCTGAGCCATGATGAACAGTACAATGCTGTCAGCATTCTAATGTTCATCATGGTGTGTTTGTGTCTGATGATTGTAGCTTCGTCGAGAGACAAGACTGAGACGGGAGTACCTGTATAGGAAGACCCAGGAGGACAGAGTGCGGATGATAGAGGAGAAAAAACAGAAGCTGAAATCTGCTCTTGATGGTGAGGACTGCATGTAATGGAGGAGATTGGTGGGTGGATGATGGATGAACAATCTAAAACACCTTGAGACTTTTTAAGATGGCAGTGATAACAAATTACAATTTGGGTACCTGTAACTAGTTCTAAGTCATTGACTTTCGTTTTACCCTACTGACAATCGTCTCATCCCTACTGATGTTCGCAGAGAAGCTGTACAGTTACAGAAATTGCTGGAGTATGACGATGAGGGAGCAGAAGGTTTGTTTCTGCACATCAACATTCAAACAACACCCTATTCCCTATATAGTGCACTACTCTTGATCACCGCCCATAGGGCTCTGGTCAAAAGTATTGCACTATCTACGGTATAGGGTGCCCTTTGGGACGCAGCCTCAGTGTTGTCTTCTCTATGATGTTGACAACACATCTCATGGACTGCCAATGGCAAAAGCAGCCTTACCACAGTTTCCCATAAAAAATTAGCAAACAGTGACTGAGAGATACTCTGTGTGTGCAGGTGTCAGCTCTCACATGGATGATGAGTATAAATGGGCTGGAGTGGAGGATCTAAAGGTCATGGTCACAACATCAAGACACCCCAGCTCTCGACTCAAGATGTTTGTCAAGGTATGTTCATTTATGTCTCAATTCTTATTCAATGTCTATCCTCTGCTCCACCTCTATTACAGAGCATATTGTAATCAGGAAAAATGATTCCCAAGAAGGCACTAGCAGACAGTATAATAGATTACGTTTTATACAAGTAATAATGACTTGCCCTCAATTTTTGCTGACGTGCAATGATTGCTGTTGACAGGAGGTGAAGCTGATCTTCCCTGGGGCTCAGCGTATGAACAGGGGAGGTCATGAAATTAAAGCTCCACACAAGGTAATACAAAAAAATATGGTCAGAGTTTAAAAGGCAAGTGAAACGTGCCTGTGCAGGAGTGGTTTAAAAACTCTGAGGTTTTCGGGGGTGCTTGGACAGTTGGGCCAGAGGCCGAGAGGTTGCTGGTACGGGTCCCTGCGTCGACTGGGTGGGCGATCTGTCGATGTGCCCTTGAGCGGGGTGCTTGACCCTGATTGTTCCTGTGGGTCGCTCTGAATGTGAGTGTTTGCTAAATGACTCAAATGTAATGTACACTACCAGTCAAAAGTTTGGACACACCTACTCATTCAACGTTTTTTCTTTATTATTACAATTTTTTACATTGTAGAATAATACTGAAGACATCAAAACTATGAAATAACACATAGGGAATCATGTAGTAACCCAAAAAGTGTTAAACAAATCAAAATATATTTTATATTCGAGATTCTTCAAATAGCCACCCTTTGCCTTCACGACAGCTTTGCACACTCTTGGCATTCTCTCAACCAGCTTCATGAGGTAGTCACCTGGAATGCATTTCAATTAACAGGTGTGCCTTCTTAAAAGTAAATTTGTGGAATTTCTTTCCTTCTTAATGCGTTTGAGCCAATCAGTTGTGTTGTGACAAGGTAGGTATACAGAAGATAGCCCTATTTGGTAAAAGACCAAGTCCATATTATGGCAAGAACAGCTCAAATAAGCAAAGAGAAACGACAGTCTATCATTACTTTATGTTATGTGGGCAGCTTGTCTCTCCCTTTTCTGTTTCCCTTCCTCCTTGTTTTGTCCCCTCTTTGTCTGTTGTTTCTGTATGTGTGTTTGTCTCCTTTATGTGGGTGTGTCTGGAGTGGATCGGGGGGCGTGCTCAGGATCTGCCTCTCCTGTGCAGCTGCGGGTTGTTTCCAGTGATTCCTGCCTACGCAGCTGCATCCTATTCTCTCATCAACCTGCACTACTAATTCCTGGGCATGGCTCTCCACCGGCGCCAGATCGTTGTTCTTACTAGAGCGGTAACTTGGCTCACCAGTAAAGTTAAATTGTCTTTGTCTTCAGCCTGGCTTTTACTCTCCTTAACCTGTCGTTTGTTTTGTCTTCAGTTCAGACATACCTCCCAACCTGCCTGCCTGCCTCCCTGCCTGCCTGCCTGCCTGCCTGCCTGCCTGCCTGCCTCAGCCTCTCCTTCCTCCGGAGCCGACTAGCCCACTCTGTTCCTTTTCTTCAGTTGTTTTTTGGACTAAGACAAATTGAACTTTTATTAAAATAATTTTTGTTTCTTCCACTCCCTTAGTCGTGTTTTGTTTCTCTGAGTGCTGGGTTAACCATAGCGTAACACTTTAAGACATGAAGGTCAGTCAATATGGAACATTTCAAGAACTTTTAAAGTTTCTTCAAGTGCAGTTTCAAAAACCATCAAGCGCTATGATTAAACTAGCTCTCATGAGGACCGCCACACGAATGGAAGACTCAGAGTTACCTCTGCTGCAGAGGATAAGTTATTTAGAGTTCCTAGCCTCAGAAATTGCAGCCCAAATAAGTACTTCACAGAGTTCAAGTAACATACATATCTCAACATCAACTGTTCAGAGGGGACTGTATGAATCAGGCCTTCATTGTCGAATTGCTGCAAAGAAACCCCTACTAAAGGACACCAATAAGAAGAAGAGACTTGCTTGGGCCAAGAAACACGAGCAATGGACATTAGATCGGTGGCAATTTGTTCTTTGGTCTGGAGTCCAAATTGGAGATTTTTGGTTCCAACTGCTGTGTCTTTGTGAGACGCGGTGTGGGTGGAGAAGGAGGTGTTGTGGTGTCGGGGGGCTTTGCTGGTGACACTGTCTGTGATTTATTTAGAATTCAAGGCACACTTAACCAGCATGGCTACCACAGCATTCTACAGCGATACGCCATCCCATCTGGTTTGGGCTTAGTGGGACTATCATTTGTTTTTCAACAGGACAATGACCCAACACATCTCCAGGCTGTGTAAGGGCTATTTTACCAAGAAGGAGAGTGATGGAGTGCTGCATCAGATGACCTGGCCTCCACAATCCACCCACCTCAATTAAATTGAGATGGTTTGGGATGTGTCAGACCGCAGAGTGAAGGAAAAGCAGCCAACAAGTGCTCAGCATATGTGGGAACTCCTTCAAGACTGTTGGAAAAGCATTCCAGATGAAGCTGGTTGAGAAAATGCCAAGAGTGTGCAAAGCTGTCATCTAGGCAAAGGGTGGCTATTTTGAAGAATCTCAAATATAAAATATATTTTGATTTGTTTAACACTTTTTTGGTTACTACATGATTCCATATGTGTTATTTCATAGCTTTGATGTCTTCACTATTATTCACTATTAATGTAGAAAATAGTAAAAATAAAGAAAAACCTTTGAATGAGTAGGTGTTGTAAAACTTTTGACCGGTAGTTTGTGTGTGTATGTATATGTGTGTATATATATGCTTTTATTTGATTTTTTACAGGCTGGAATGCATCTTTCCAAGTAAAAACACTGCATCGAGGGAACTTTAAAATAACTACTTTTATATTGCCTGTGTGAACTGTATAGATGGGCTGGTGGTGTGCCACCTACCTTTTGGACCAACTGCGTACTTCACCCTTTACAATATGGTAATGAGACATGATTTTACATTTTAGTCATTTAGCAGACGCTCTTATCCAGAGCAACTTACAGTTAGTGAGTGCATATATATATTTTTTTCATACTGGTCCCCCGTGGGAATCGAACCCACAACCCTGGCTTTGCAAGCGTCATGCTCTACCAACTGAGCTACACGGGACCATGTGCCGGACATTGGAACCATGTCTGAGGCCTACCCCCACCTCATTTTTCACAACTTCTCCTCACGACTTGGCCAGAGGGTGAGGGACTTGGCACTTCACAATTCTCAATAAATGTTTACCCCAATACTGTTAGTGCATCCAAATGTTTCTGACACTGACTGTAAGTAAATATCTCCCAATCAGGTTTCCAATATCCTCAAGTATTTGTTCCCAGTGCCTAAAGAGGACAGTAGACGAGTTATCACATTTGCCAACCAGGAGGATTTTGTATCTTTCAGGTGAGTAGAGGGATGCTTTGAACAAGCTATTTGGGAATCTTGGGCAGACATGTTGAATGTAGACTCAGTCAGGTAGCGGAACGTAGCTACACATTCGTATTTACTTAAAAGTAAGGACCTATTCTTATTGCAGACATCACACTTACAAGAAAACGGACCACAGGAACGTTGTCAGAAGTTTGGCCCAGATTTGAAATCAAATGTATAAAAAAAAAAGAGTACAATGTTTTACCTTTCTCATCATAAGCAACACCATGTTTTTGAACAATGTGTAAGTTTGGATTAATTTTAGTTTTACCCTTTCCTGCACCGCACCCCCTATACCGTTTGTGTATTTTTTCTCGTGTGTATTGATGATGCACATGCAAAATTGTAATTGTTATATTATAAACTAGTGATTTAACTGTTTTTCTGTCTGTAGTGTACATGATCAAGCTTGGTACCCTGGAAAATGAGGCTACAGCGGATGTTGAATGCCGCCACCACTCATATACACACACTGCCAAAAAGAGGAAGTTTCTCAGCATGGCGTAACGTTAGCCACATCTCAGTTTTCCCCTCTCATGAACAGGCCATGGCCAAAGCAGCCTAACCAAATAGTAGCCTAATGTTGTGTTTTCAGTTTTACACAATATTCCTCAGATTTGTATTTCATGGAAATATGGCATCAGACATTGAATAATTTCATTGAAACAGACTCTACCAGAGAAGGTATGTATACTACAAATGGCCTAACTCCAAATTGGGCTTTTTTCCATTAAATTAACAGAACAAAATAAAATAAAATAAATAAAAACAATGCTATTGTTGGCATTGATGTATGTCAGATGTTTTAGTCATTTACTTATTTTCCAGTGGGCTAAAATGTCGATTTTTCCTCATCAGCCTCACAATATTACAGATTAATGATTTTGTACTACATTTGTACTGTATCTGAGGTATTGACTCGCCCAGAGATGAGCAATATGTCAAAATAAAAGCAGGTCCTGGTTTTAACCTTGTTTTTCCTTGCTTTTATGATACAAACCACCTTTCCACATGACTGTTGTTAATCTGAATCATACATTTGCCTTATCACAGGATGCATTGGCGGTCGGTGCCGTTTCAGATGAGGGAGGATGTTTATTTTTTATGAGCATGGCCTTATTTCTATTACAGCATATTGGATGACTGTCATTCATATTCCATTCACCCAGTTCAATATAACATCGATAGGTTTAGGCTACTACATGATACTAGAATTTTCCCTATACCCATCTTGAGGTTGCTTCAACCTAGCCTATGAATGAAAGTTTACAACGTAGGTGCACACTGGTCGAGAGAAAGATTTGAGGTGACAGACAGTGACACATGAACAGACAGTGACACACTTGCCTGCATCTAGCTGATCTAGGGTGTAATCATTAGTCCAACAGTTGCAAACAATAATTTTTATTGGACAAATTGAGATATGACTATCCACGTTACGTTTGCTTCCGTTTTAAGAAGCATTTTTCAACAGAATTGGTGGAATTTATACACCCCTGATCACATGCAAACAGTTCACTTTCGTAGCCTCATATAAACAGCTCGTTGTATACCTTCTTGCATCTGCGCACTCTCCTCTTACCTCTTCCCTTCACACAGCGCACAACACATCAGCTGTATGTGACCAGGCGAAAAAGCCTTTCCAATCCAAACCTTCATATCATAACCGTTACACACAGCCTACATCGTGGTCACCATATTAGCTAAAGTAACATCATAGTCAACATAGCTAATAGAACTAACGTGTTAGTAAACCCACTACAATCATGCAGCACAGTGTACAGCCAGTAAGCAGTTTAGCAGGTACACCGGTGGCAATAAATTAGTAAAAACCAAAAGCTTACCTTGACTTGGAAGAGTTCCAGTGTTGGATAGTCATAGCCAGCTAGCTAACATAGCGTCCCTCTGTTTGAGCCGGGTGTTTGAGTAAGCTAAATTAGCTAGCTGCATTTGCTAGCTAAGTAGGTGAAAGTGATTTTTTGTTTTTTTAATATAGTTCTCGCTCTTGTTCCTCCTTCATTTTTGAAGGAATTAATTTGTTCAAAACTGTTCAACTATTATCTTTCTCTGTCTTTGAGTCAGCTACTCCATTTTATGCACTGCTGTGCTAGCTAGCTGTAGCTTATGCTTTCAGTACTAGATTCATTCTCTGATCCTTTGATTGGGTGGACAACATGTCAGTTTATGCTGCAAGAGCTCTGATAGGTTGGAGGATATCCTCCGGAAGTTGTCATAATTACTGTGTATGTCTATGGAAGGGGCTGAGAACCATGAGCCTCCTAGGTTTTGTATTGAAGTCAATGTACCCAGAGGAGGACGGAAGCTAGCTGTCCTCCGGCTACGCCATGATGCTAACCTACAGAGTGCTGTTGAGGCTACTGTAGACCTTCATTGCAAAACAGTGTGTTTTAATCAATTATTTGGTGACAATATATTTTGTATAGTTTTATCTGAAAAGGATAACTTTTTTAATGTTTCACTATATATATAAATGAAATTCACTGAAGAGGATGGTCCTCCCCTTCCTCCTCTGAGGAGCCTCCACTGACATTGAGGCCCAAACTCCATTTATGGTATGCAGCTGTTTTGCTTTTTGCTTCTTATTTCTTTAGTTTAATTTGATACATTCTGATATAACAATGTTTCCCCCGAAGATTGAATAGGTAAACTGAATAATTTGTCTGTGTAGCATACTGTAACATGAATTTGTACAATATAACTTTGAATGACACATTTATTTTTACTTGTAACAGCAGCCCCCTTTATGTATCGATTCTGTCATCCAATGAGCGAGTGTAAATGTGAGAATGGACCAATACGGAGCGTGCATCACTGAGGTGTTCCGCTTTCCCAGAAATTCTTGACAGATTCTACTTCAGATTGAGAGAATTCAAGATGGCTGCTTCAGGTAAGACTTTATTCCAAAACCAAATTTGCAATTAGTTGTTTATGAATGACTCGTTTTGCAGTGGTCTTTAATTGTCCATTATGAATAAAACAGTTGCTTATACTATTGCGTAAACAAGCTTTTCTTTACGTGATAAAGTCAGACAGCAAAAGTATCAAGCTAACGCGCTACGTTAGCTCGGGCTCTACCAGCTAGCATGCCATCTAGCTAACTAATCCCTTTCTGCCTCATGAAAGCGCTCACTCAAACGTGAAAAAACACCTGACAGGAATTAAGAAACTATTTATAATTTAGCCTCGTAGAAGCGGTATTGTCATTTCATCAAATTAATATCAATGAATTGTAATCTAAAGTGGTTTACTGAGACAAACATGGCTTCCAAATTTTCGAAAAGTCATATTGCTAAGCAGTCAAATCCCACTATGCTAAACTAGGATACGTAACTAGCTATCTTATTTGCCAGCGACTTCAGCTAGCTATAGCATTTGTAGATGGCTAATCACTTTGGGCTATGATGAGCCAACAACAAGGCTCTTACAATAACGTTACTGGTTAATGCCATTTCGCATACACATTAAATGTTTCCAGTTCAGAGTAAAAGTGCAGCGAGACATAGTGTAGCTAATGTTAGCTAGATGTCTAGGCTATGAAAAGTTGCCTATAAAGCTAACTTAGCTGGTTAGCTAGTAAGTTTAGTTGACGTGTCAAAATAGTAATATTTTCATATGAGAAATAACATTTGCTCGAGTCATTGGCAATTTACACCAGATCAGTTGTGTGGTGCAAGCAACCCTTCCAGTCAATGATTTTATTGTGAGCAGCTGGATTTTGGAATGTCAAAATGAGGCCTCTTCTGTTTATTTACCAGTTCTGTACACACACCAGTGTGGTATCATCCTAGCTAGTTGCAACATATTCTGTCGATCTATGATCATGGGCACATTTGTTTCACTCGGTCATTGGCGTCAGATGGATTGTAGCTAGCTAATTAGTAGCACTGTTTGTCTCAGGTTCCAGGTAAGGGCTCACTCCCCCGGATCCCCAGTGCATGAAGTTCTCCTGTCGTTGAAGCATCTCAGTGCTGCCTCCCCTGCTCTTCCTACCTGTCATTATGTCCTCCAACTCTTCTTCCTGCTCCTCCTCGGGAGAGACTAGTCCAGAGGACGTGCCCCGAGGCGGGGGCACCATCCGCGTCTTCCTCCCCAATAAACAGAGGACCGTGGTAAGACATTCAGAATAATCTCTTGGGGCCCTCACGTACAAGTACATTTGAGTTATTTTCAACAGTAATATTTCACGACTTTTTAATGACTAGGCCCAACCCCTACGCAGCAGACAGTTGGTGTTGTGCACCAGCTGGTGCCTAAGGCCCAGTTCCAATCTATTTCTCATCTTGTCTCTCAAACATGATAACCCATTAGGGTCGGGTGGTATACCGTATATACAGTATCCCGGGGTATTTTGAAATACCCTCTGTGTGATTTTCCAATACAGTTTTTAAATACATTCGAATATTTGTATGTTTGAAATAAATACCTGCAGTCAACTTGTGCACTAGGTAATACACTATATATACAAAAGTATGTGGAAATTCCTTCAAATGAGTGGATTTGGCTATTTTAGCCACCCCTGTTGCTGACAGGTGCATAAAACCGTGCAGAGCAATGCAATCTCCATAGACAAACATTGGCAGTAGAATGGCCTTACTGAAGAGCTCAGTGACTTTCAACGTGGCACTGTCATAGGATGCCACCTTTCCAACAAGTCAGTTGGTCAAATGTCTGCCCTGCTAGAGCTGCCCCGGTCAACTGTAAGTGCTGTTATTGTGAAGAGGAAATGTCTAGGCGCAACAACGGCTCAGCTGGGAAGTGGTAGGCCACAAGCTCACAGAATGGACCGCTGAAGCGCATAGCGTGTAAAAAACGCATGTCCTCGGTTGTAACACTCACTACTAAGTTCCAAACTGCCTCTGGAAGCAACATTAGCACAATAACTGCTAGTCGAGAGCTTCATAAAATGGGTTTCCATGGCTGAGCAGCCGCAAACAAGCCTAAGATCACCATGCGCAATGCCAAGCGTCGGATGGAGTGGTGTAAAGCTTGCAGCCATTGGACTTTGGAGCAGTGGAAATGCTTTCTCTGGAGTTATGAATCACGCTTCACCATCTGGCAGTCCGACAGACGAATCTGGATGCCAGGAGAACGCTACCTGCCCCAGTGCATAGTGCCAACTGTAAAGTTTGGTGGAGGAGGAATAATGGTCTGGGGCTGTTTTTCATGGTTCGGGCTAGGCCCCTTAGTTCCAGTGAAGGGAAATTTGAACGCTACAGCATACAGTGAGATTCTAGACGATTCTGTGCTTCCAACTTTGTGGCAACAGTTTGGGGAAGGCCATTTCCTGTTTCAGCATGACAATGCCCCCTTGCACAAAGCAAGGTCCATACAGAAATGGTTTGTCGAGATTGGTGCGGAAGAACTTGACTGGCCTGCACAGAGCCCTGACCTCAACCCCATCGAACACCTTTGGGATGAATTGATACGCCAACTGTGAGCCAGGCCTAATCGCCCAACATCAGTGCCGACCTCACTAATGCTCTTGT